TTCCCCACTTCTTAGCTGAAATCAGCCTCTCAAAAGTCCTCTTTAAATGGTTTTAACAAAATCAAGCTCTATTTTTATTTAGAGTAAATTTTGACTAGTTTACAGTGAAGCTATAATTAATCACTTAAATTAAATAATTTTTTTGTTATCACTTCCTATTTAACAAAAAACGTGACACATAAAAAATCACAAAACTTTAATTCCCTACTTTCCTGCTAAAAATCAAACCGTTGTTTATATAAACTTTTTTGTATTTATTCAGTTTTGCTATCACTTCTTTAAATATTTCCCTCTACTTACGAGACACCCTGTGTATGGGGTTAGACTTGTAAAAAACTAAATAGTTAACTGAGGTCACCAAGAGAAAACTTTTTACAGCCGAAAATTCCAGATTTATCTGATTTTTTTTTTTCATGTATTACTACTAAAGAGTGCATTAAAGTGAAAAACGTATTCTTTAAGAAATTAAAAAACGTCAAATTGTGCGTTGAACGAGTACCTAAATTTAATAATTTGATTAAGTGACATGGTAGATAACCACGGTCAATGAACGCTAATTTTTATCGATATTTTCAAAATCTGAGAAAGATTACTGTAAATGGCCCTGCAGCTTGGAAATGGATTCTCTAAGAAAAAAAAACCCAAAATAATTTCCGAATCAGAACATAATCAGATTCCGATCAAATTGAAGACCAAATAATCGAGAGGGGGAGGCACCCTCTCGAAGAAATCACTATTGCTGGTCACGATAATAACTTTTTTTTATATTACATTAGGATATTCGTCTATGAGGATGCATTTTTCCTATATTTCTCTTTTCTTTATATAAGTGTTTTTTTCGGAATTTTTTTATCACCATCCAAGGGAGGGCGCGCTCTCTGGCAGATTTCGCTAGTGCTGGTCAGGATAATAATTTTTTGTTTCATTAGGAAATTCGTGTATGAGGATGAATTTTCCCTATGTTTCTCTTTTCTTTAAAAAAGTGTTTTTTTCCGGCATCCAAGGGCGGGCACCACCCCTGGCAGAATTCGCTAGTGCTGGTCACGATTGTATTTTTTTTTTTTATATGTGGAAATTCATTCGTGTATGAGGATACATTTTTCCTCTCTTTCCCTTTTCTTTAAATAGGTGTTTTGTCACTTTTTTCGATATTTTTTTCCACCATCGAAGGGAGGGCGCCCCCTGGCAGAATTTGCTAGTGTGGTCATTATAATAACTGTTTTTTATATTTCATTAGGAAATTCGTGCATGAGGATGAATTTCCCCAACATTCCTCACTTCTTTAAATAGATGTTTTTTGTCACTTTTTTCAGAATTTTTCCCACTATCCAAGAAAGGGCGTGCCTCCTAGCAGAATTCGCTAGTGCTGGTCACGATAATTTTTTTTTTATATTATATTAGGAAATTCATCGTCTATGAGGAATTTATTTATGATTTATATGAATTTTCCCTCTATTTATATTTTCTGTTTTTTGAACATTTTTTCCAGCCGCCAGGAGGGGAGAGGGCGCGCCCGCCGCACCTATCTGCTGGATCCGCTAGTACTTACACCTTTGTGAATGTCCGACAGTTAGCTTAATTCTTATTTTCAAATTACGACAAAAAATGACATTAGAAACAAAGCGGAGAATAGCAGCTGCCAACCGATGCTATTTTTTCCTACTTAAGCACATGAGAAGCTTAGCAAACTAACGAAGCTGCAGCTCTATAAAACGCTCATCAGGCCAGTCCTTACCTACTGTAGCCAAACATTGGACCTTAGCCAAAAATGGCGAAAATGACCTTCTGTTCTTTGAAAGGAAAATCATTAGAAGAATATTTGGCCCTGTACGGGAGGGGCGAGATTGGAGAATTCGGAATAATAGAGAGGTCTACGAATTGTTTTATGAATCTAATGTGGCAAGAATAATAAAATTAGGAAGGTTAAGTTGGGAAGGACACATAGCTCGGATGGAGAGGTCTGAAAAATCCCAGAAAAGAGAGGCAGATCGAAATTGAGATGGGCTGATGGTGTGACAGGTGACGCGAGAGACTTGATTGGAGTCAGGAATTGGTAAGCGGCCGCACAGAATAGAGAAATTTGGCGGAAGCTCATTGAGGAGGCCAGGACCCGCTAAGGATTGTAGAGCCATTGAGGTAGATAGATAATGGCCTTTGCTTCTTTTCTAGAATTGAGATATGTATTTTATATACGACCTGGGAGATACATATTGGTCTGTAATGATCACACTCGCTTGTACTTTCCTTCTTTTGGGTGGGTATGATAATTTTGTATTCCCATTCTTTAGGAATTTTCTTTTCCTCATAAAATTTCTGGAAAAAGATCTGCAGTACCTTAATTATCTCCCTTCCGGCGTACTTAATGAATTCTGGAAAGATGTCCCTTCCTGTTGGTTTTCCAAGGTTAAGGCTCTCTATGGCCACTTCAACTTCTTTCCATATTATGTCTAAATATTGTTCGATATCTTGTTCATTGGGAATCGGTTGTTCAGAGTTTCTTGTTTTCTCTTCAAATATTGCATCATGGTGCCGTTCCCATCTTTCTATTATGTCAGCAGTATCGGCTATTATATCTTCATTCTCGTTTTTCACATTTCTAATGCTTTTACCTCTACTTCCCCTAAGGCCTTTAACTTTTCTCCAGAACTTTTTTATGTTCTCTCTATAATCCTGGTCTACTTCCTTTTCAAATCGTTCCAAAGATTTTCTCTTAGACTCCCTAACAACGTGCTTTGAGATATTCATCCTATGAACATAAGTAGACCTGTTTTCCTGAGTCTTATTTGCCATTTATTCTTTCCAAGCTTTCTTTTACTTCGTCGCTCCACCAATCTGGTCTTGTAGCCCTCATATTGATTTTCTTTTTAGTGCATATTTTTGTGGCAGTCTCCAATACACAACATCTAATATCTGACCACATTTCATCTATATTCTTTTCTAGAACTATCGATAAGAGTCGATGGTCTATCAAGTCTGCATATAAGATTCTTTTCTCGGGATCCCGCAGTACCGCTGTATCGATTCGTTCATATGATTTGGGTTTTCTCTTGATCGTCTTAACAATCATCTGCAATCATAAACAAATGGTCTGTACTGAGTTTTACACCTCATATTACTTTTATATCTGTAAAATAATATCTTATATCTTTAGTGTAAATGAAATAATCAATGATGCTGTTCATGTTCCTTTCCTGCGCAGAGAATGTAATTTTATGCACATCTTCAAGGAGGAAAACGTATTGTCTATTAATAGATCAGAGTCTATACAGAATTCAAAGAGTCTCTATCCATTTCTATTTTAGTAGCCTCTCCTCCATAAAGTTCCATTGTACCTTGTGATGCTCCATTATATTTTCCAATCCTACCATTTAGGTCTCCCATTATTACTACTCCTCTTCATATGTCGTGACTTCTACTAGTTTCCCTTTTCAGTTAGGCATAAAATTGCTCTTTGTCGAATATATCGGCATCCCCTGTAGGTGCATATACCTGTATTAAAGTAATACAGCCTATTGACAATTGCATATCGTCAGTAAGAATTCGAGGAGATTTCGGATTTAATTTTTCAACCTTTGAATGTATGCTGTCTTTAACCGATAATAATAATACCGACTCCTTTTTTTTATCTTGTTCCTTTTGATACTCCTGAGTATATAAGGGTATATAATTCTTGTACATTAGAGTCTCTCCACTACCTTCTCTTTTCACTTTACTTATACCAAGGATATCAACTCTATATTTTTCCATCTCCCCCATTATCTCTACTTTCTTTCTTGTAAGTGACCTTATGTTCCAAGTTTCTAAACGTAAGTCCTTAATTGCACCATGTCGTAACCATTTATTCTGTCCAAATCCGAGGCTGGAAATGTTTCTTAGAATCAAGTATACCTCCTTACGGGTGATTGGACCAGTATGAAGGATCCCGTCAGCCCGGAATGACGGTCCTGGCAGGGAGGTGCCAGAAGCCTGCCATCGGAGGACTACTCCTTCCAGGGCCACTTCTCTCTCGTTTTTTCACCGACCCAGTCCTCCGCAGGGATTGGTTGCCACTACCTTGGGCTGGGTTACGCGACTTTTCCAGGACCTACCACGATCACATGAGAGTAGGGTTAGGTAGGAGAGGCTAAGTAGTCTCTTCTGGCTATCTAAGACACATCACTCCCCCCAAGGCCCTCAGATGCCATAAAAAATAACTAAACTATAGTAAGAGCTTAACCATTTATTTAAAAAAAAACTATTTTATTATCAATGATCAGAAATTGAATTGATCGAGAATTAAATTTCGATTTATTTATATTTTAAAAAAGAAACAATTGACTGTCGTGGATATATGGAAGAAGAGTTGGTTGGGTTGTTGTTAGCTGGGATGTTGTCATAAGCAGCAAAGTAAAAATAAATAAATTATATTTATGAGATTTACACTAAATATTTTATATTTATTTTTTTTTAATTTTTTTTTTTTAATAGAGCGTATTAAGAAGAAAGAGTATAAATAGTTTCATGGTTGCTGACTTCGAAATGAGTTTCTAGTTTTCTGATGACATTCCAATGAAAATTAATTTTCAACAGTAAGTTTTTGTTTTCTGGTTTAATAATAATAATATATATTTGTTTGTTAAATTTGCAAATGACGGAATTAGATGAAAAAATGGAATCTCAGTATGCTGAAGTTTATTGAAATATGTTTAATTAAAGTCAAATAAAAGAAAACAAAAAATTGTTCTTTGATTTTATTATATATTTTCCCGTGATTCATAGGCGTCATTCAACTTGCACAACTTCAATTCTATCTTCCAAACCATGCTAATTAAATAATTGCAATTTAAATTGAAATAACAAAGAAAAACTACCCAACTATTAGATTCCCGCCGAACCAATATGACTGCCACTTCAGTATAACCACACTTTATTATTAAGTCAGTATAAGCACAAAGCCTCTTCAGAGCTCAACGCCAAGTTTAAGAACTAAATAAACCTTCCTTGAATATAACCATTAATTTATTTACTAATAAGAGAGGTTATAAATATTAATCTTAACATTAACATTTGGAAATTATTAAAAAATGTGTCCGAATTCAGGAAAAAAAGTGATTTGTTTCATTTGTGAGATTAGTTTTCCAACCAAATTATCAATGTTGAAACATGTTTCTGAAATGCATCAAATTTCAGATGATATAAATACTGAATCGAATTCAATTATACATCAAAAACAGAATGACTCTATTCTTATTTGCAACGATAGCATGAATAATGTTAGTTTGGTCATTTCTAACAACGAAAATTTAGAAAACCAGCATTCAGTGTTAGCACAATTATCTAATAGTCAATGTTCCAGGAATTTAGAATTGGAGAAAAATATATCAAAAAATATAAAAGTTTGTCATCGCACAGTGCATTGTGAAATGAAATTAATTAAATGTGTGCTTTGTGATGTTTCATGTAGGACAAAACAGTTTATGTTAACACATTATGAAAATGACCACAGTATTAAAATTATTACTGAAATTGTGAAGTTTGACAATGTTTCTCATTTTTTGAAATGGAAAAAAGATATGGAACAAAAAACAGTGACCAGGTTTGTAAAATATCGCAATAAATATTTTAAAAGTTCAACTAAAAACTTTTATAGATGCCATCGGGATGGTGTATTTAAGAAATCTGGTAGAAATATCCGTCAGTTGAAATCTCATGGAAGTAATAAAATTAATGGCCACTGTCCAGCCAAACTGGAAGTATGTCATTTTAAAGAAAAACAAGAAATTTTTGTCAAGTATACAAAAACCCATGTAGGTCACACAATGGAAATTCAAAAAATTAATTTAGACACTGAAGAAAGACAATTTATTGCCTCAAGATTAGCAAATAAAGTTCCAAACAAAAAAATCCTTAATGACATTCGTAACGCAAATATTGGTAAATTAGGAAGACTTCAGCATGTGACTATGAAAGATTTACACAATATTAAAAAATCATTATCTGATAATGAAGTGCCTCTAGAGACAAATCACAGAATACTTAATTGGATTAAAGAGGTTCAGGACAGTGGGAATAGTTCAGCCATAAAATTTTGTAAACCAATTGGAACAATCATCAAAGAATTTCCATCACTGACATCAGAGGACTTTTTGTTGATTGTTGTAACTGATAGACAGCTTAGTAAGTTACAAGAGTTCGGAACTGATATTGTCTGCATTGATATTCATCATGATGGTGACCATACATTTGATATTGTTGTGTTAAGTGTGATTGATGAGAATAAACAGTCATTCCCTAGTGCATTTATGTTTTCCAATGTTTTAACTAAAGGTATATGTGAATTATTTTTTGAAGTTATTAAATCTTGTTTAGGTTTCCCTCTTAAATCTAGAGCTGTTATGACTGATATTGATGACTTTTTCCATATTTGGTGTTCGGTAATGCTTTTCTCATCATTACATTTATATTCATCATGGTTACTGAAAAATAGATGGCAGAAAAATGCAGGATCTAAAATTCATTCTTTGGTTAAGCAACAACTCATTTTTGATAAATTGGTAACACTTATCGAAGAAAGAAACTGCGAAGAATTTGAAAAAATGCTCAGTGAAATTTGCCATTCCATGGAGCAGGATTTTGAGCTAGAAAACTTTGGACATTATTTTGAATACTTCAAAAACAATAAACAATCCTGGGCCCAGTGTTACAGAGACATTGCTGACATTAATTATAGCCTTTTGTTTGAAAGACTTAACCGCTCAATTGATTTCATATATAATCAAGAAAAGAGGATAGAATATATTGATACGGTAGTTGATTTGTTGATCGATTTTGTAGAGAGTAAATTTTTAGAGATTGGTGTGTATCTAATTTTTAAAATACATATTTATATTTTTCATTCAGTATTATTTAATTTTTTTTTCCTATTTACACAGGTGACTGTAGTCAAGAAATAATGAAAAGGCATGAATTATGTTTAAATTCAATGGCTGCTTTATCAATTAGTGAGAATGGGGATAACACTTGGACAGTATCTTGTTTGAAGAAGAATGTAAGTTATAAAATCGAAAAAACTAACATAAGCTGCTATTGTAGGAATCGTTGTAATTATTGTGATTGTTGTATTCATGCTTATGTGTGTACTTGTGGTGATTCTTACATAGAAATGAATATGTGTCTCCACATACATCTAGTTTGCCTGTTCATTCAACAACTCGAATCTAGTAGAAATTTGATACCTGTTAGCTTTGATAATAATTTAATTTTTACTTGTTCTACTAATACATTGGAGAGAGAAGAAGGTAGTTCTATTTCAAATACAGAAAAAATCTCACATATTGAACATTTAAAAATTAAAAAAGTAAGATTGATGGAACAGTTGAAAAATATTTTAGAATTGGTTCAAACAAATGATGAATTAAAAGTTGTAGAGAATGCATTATTACCTCTGAGTTCAACCATCAACTTATTGAAACAAAAAGAATCTGTTAGATAACTTGAAGATTAATGAGCTAAGATAATAAAGCTACCCATTGTTACTTTGTTGATACATAGGACTAACTAAATTATTTTTTTTAGTCAGAACTTGGTAATATAAAGCAAATGAGAAATGCTATTGTTCTGTTATACCATAGATCACTGTACAGATTGGTTGGAAAGTTTTTCTTTTCCTCTTGTGGATGGATAGGAGATGAAATTGTATGTAATATTTTTTCATTATGGATTTATTGTTAACCCTTATTAAATTGTAGATGATGGTTGGTGTTATGGTCAGAAATAAAACAATAAATATTTTTTTACTATATATGTGTGGTAACTATTGCCATCCTGTGGAGAGTAGAAAAAAATATGTTGTTTTTTTTCTAATGAGTTGAAAATGAAAATGTCTCCATTGACTTGATGTTTCAGAATTTTTTTAATCAAGGCCTTTTCTCTTATTATGTACAGTATATCCCCATAAAATAATCAAAACCGTTATTTTACAAAGACATATACAATTTTTAAAAAAGTTTGTGTTTGTTTTATTTCATGCTGCATACTCTAGTGTCATTCTCGTGATTGATAATTTTTTTTAAATTTTAAACCTTGTGTAAACCATGATTTTTTTCTGATTTTATTTTTAAAATGGAGTTAATTAATTAATTTTAATTGAACCAATCTATCCATCTATCTCCGTGGTGCTAGAATTCTGAGTGGGTATTAGCTTTATCAATTAGCCTCTGCCATTCGGCTCTGTCCTGTGCTGTTGCAGATGATCCCTGGGAGGTTTTCTTATGTAGTTAATCAAACCAAAGATAACAGATGTTGTCTGTACAGATAAAAATAACAGATGTATGATTATTTATTTATGATTATCATTTAATGATTATAATTTATAAAAGGGTATGTATATATATATACCCTAGATTGTCTCTAAATAATCATTATCTATGGGTATCATCTATATTATTTGTAAAAGATGTTTTTTTGTCGGTACGTCATAACTTCGTCAATTCTTCATGAAATCCAATGATTGACGACTCATTTTGAAGATATTCTTCTCCTTCATATGCGAAAAATAGTCATATCCTCCCGATATTTCAGAGAAAAATGTTATGAAGGGAAAAAAGAAACTTATTTGCGAATAACTCAAAAAGTATTTTTTTCGGATTGTACCTATAATAAATATAAAGGTAACTAAATTACCTATAAAACAAAAAAAAATTGTAAAAATCAGACAATTATTAACAACATGCAGGTATACTTAATGCAATGTCTTGCTCTTTAAAGACATTGCATAGTATAGCAGTAGCGTAGTCTACTACACTTTTTTTCCTAGCTGATATATTAACTTTATTATTTCTTAAAGGCATTTGTTTGTTCTTACATTTTATTTTTTTTAATAATTTAGAAAATCCCATGATTGTGGCATTATTTTATCTTTATTACTTTTATTATCTTTCCAGTCAATATTTAAAAATAAATCCTAACAAAGCAATTTGTACAAATATTTTGTTCTATTATGTTAAACGGAATATTGTAATTGACCAAGGAAAAAATATTAATTCCTTCCTTACATAATATATAGGAGCTACTTATTTCCAAATTTTTTGCTATTTCTTCACTAAACAAAATTTTCTGCGAATTATTCACACTGGCCAACTAATTTATATCAATTGGAAGTAATCTTAAACGTTTTTAATGTTTGTAAAAAAAAAATTGTATATCACATGGTCAGAAATATTAATTTCTTGATATGCCAAGAACTCTTGATTCAGTTTTTTCATTACTGCTTTGAGTTCAGTTGTTTATCTTAAAAACATTTATCACAACAGGGTGTAGCTTTAAAGTTTTCTTTCTAGGGACTTTTCTGGATTTCAGTATTCTTTCTCAAGAGAATCCTCAATATGTGCTTTTTATATCTTTTCACCATTTCATATTTTCTGATCTGTATGTTTGAATATATTGTACCTGAGCCAAATTACTTAAATTTCTCCTTTTTAGAATGAATTTTAATGTAGGTAAATGTCAGTAAAGTTTATTTTCTTTTTTCACTATCAATTTATTAATTTTTTTCTTATTTACATGTTAGCCAATTTATTCTACTTCTCTAATCATATTCTGAACTAAATGTCTCAATTTTTCGTTATTCTAGTCTATACCCCTCCATTTTCTTGTGATGTTATTCGCATGTGCAATGAAGGGCTAAGTTATGTTGGTAAAACAATCTCCCTGCCTTAACCCACTTATAACTTGGATTTCTTGTTTTCTGATATCGGCGTGGAATTCATCCATGTTTTTAGATTGCCTAGTTTCTTGTCTCTAATTCTAGAATTCTCTTCTTGCTTTTCTTATTTTGTTTATTTCTTCTTCTTATTATTTTTTTCCAACCCTTCTATGCTTATTAATTCTTTTAGCCCTTACTTTACTTCGGAAAAAAAATCTTTTTAAAAAAGGCTTTTTATTTGATTTATATTATATTCCTTTTGAATATAAACAATTATTATTATTATTATTTTTATTTTTTATCAATTTAAAAAAAGGTATTTTCCTGGAGTGGAGAAGAATTAACTTCAACCACTTCATGTTAATTTTTGTAGTTTTATTGGACATTAAGGAAGCTCCTTACGCTTCTCGCAGTGTTCAGCAGCACAGCTTTCTGGGCTTCATTCATTGTAGCTGTTGATAGGCCCAACTTCTCGGTAGCTTCTACAGTGAATTTTGGAATCAGCCCATTGCTAGAGATCACTAAAGCCCTTACTGTCACTTTGTTCAGTCTGTACAGATCTTTTAACTCGGCTGCAAGAGTTTGATATTTCCGAATTATTTCGACGCAGACTGAGTTGGTGTTCCCATCATTTGATACAGCAATATCTATTATCTCTGCTGTTTTCAGATTACTGTTGATTAACATGATATCAGGTCTGTTATGGAGCACAGTATGATCTGTTATAAAAGATTGATTACAATACAATTTTATTCCATCCTTCTGGATAAGTTCTTTAGGGTTGTCCTTATAATAAGGTATTGAATCATTCACTAACTTTATTTTTAGACCAATTGCCTGATGATAAATTTTTGCGACATCGTCATGTCTCTTGAGGTATTCTGTACCAGCCAGTGCTCCGCACCCTCCAGTTATGTGCTGAATAGACTCGAACGTGCTGGCACAGAGCCTACACTTGTCTGATACTGTCTGTTGCTTCAAGACATGTCACAAGTAAGACCTCGTTGCTATGATCTGATCTTGGTTTGCTATCAGAAAGGCCTCTGTCTCGGGAAACAGATTTCCTTTAACCAACCAACTAGTAGAGAATGTTTTATCTATTTCAGTTTGTTGGAGTTGGTGTAAAAATCTTCCATGCAGGGTTTTTGACTTCCATTCTTCCAGTCGGTCATTGTCCATGAAAATTATGGATGCAGCAGTTTCTGGAGTGGCTAAATGTAATGTTGTGTGTCCATGGTCGAGATTGCACATTATCCTATGAAAAGATACTTCACTTTGTTTGAAGTGCTCTCTGAGGGTCATTTCTTGTTTCCGGCACGCCTCTTCAATGTTTATGAGGCCTCTCCCACCTTCCTTTCTTGGTAAATAAAGTCTTGCCATAGATGCATAGATCTAAATAAAAGAAGAAGTTGCTGACCCCATGTTGAAATTAAATTGTTCCATACTAGTCTGTCTATCAGGGGCAGCTTAGTTTTCCCAGTAATATGATTACTGATCCATGTAATTGCTTTTATCTTTTTTGATTGAGGTTAAATTTGAATAAGTCTTGGATACTCTTAGCTATGTTGGCCTATTATAATAGTTGTGTTTGTTTTTTTCGGATCCTCTTCTCTTGGCAATCTTATGTTTGTCCCTTTGCGTTATTATTATTGTTTACGTTTTATTAAATAAAAAAATACATATATTCCTAATTATTTGTTGATCTAGAGTTATGTGGTGTCGATAACTTTGGAGATGAAAGAGATTTTATGAATAAAGAAAACATATTAAATTAAAACTATCTTTAAAACTGTTCTAGTCATGGATTATATAAACATTTTTTGAAGATTAGAACCAGAATTAATAATTGAAATTTTATTTAAATAATAATTAAATTGTGAACTGACTTGAACTGCATATTGTTTGCAATATACTGTAGACATTGTAAAGTACATTAAGATTAGCCAAATAATTTCATACTTGAAGAATTTGTATGAAAATATTATTTGTTATTTAATATTTATATCTATTGTTATTATTTGTTATAATAAACCACTTGTGAAATATATTCTTTTACATCCTTAATCCATTGTATTTCTTAATTTAGATTCATGTATTCATGTTAGGTGAGGAGGGAGGAAGTCGACAATCATATGATAATTATCCTTCAGACTGTTTCTAAAATCTTGGTCACTTCGATGATTTAGGACTGTCCTTTGGATCTTTGACTGTCCATATCTACCTTCAATGCTTTGGTTAGTTTCATGCCTTTTAAGGATATATCATACTGTTAATTGGTACAGTCAGGAAAATAAATTGGGGGTAGTATGGTTGAATCGATTAATTCTTTGGCTCTACAACCCACT